TTCTCCATCCGTTAGAACTCTCGTCGAAAGAAAAAAAAAACAGGAAAAAGAAGGAAAAGATTCACATTCATACAATAAACATACGTATTCAGACGCCTACAAATACACCATCACCACCACCACCACCACCACCACCATCACCACCATCAGTACCAACAACGAACATTTTCATTTATAGCGCAGATACATAAAGTTTTTCTATTTTTTTTTTCTTTCGGGACGATACATACCAGTTTTTTATTTTATTTTTTATTTTTTTTTTGAGAAACTTTAGCTACCATACAATGCTTTTAACGCATCACCAAAAGCAGAAGCAAGAAAAAAAAAACACACACATACACACACTGTTTAAATTCCTTTTCAAAATTTATTTATTCTTACAGCTTTTTTTTTCTGCTGTTTTTCATCAAAAAAAAAAAAACAGAAAAGTTTCTTTCAAACGTACTTTTTGATATTATAAAACTTTTTTTTTTGTGTTCTGCTTTGTTGTTATTCTTTTATTTTATTTGAAAACTCTTTTTTTTTGTCGCAAATTTAATAAATTTTCACATATTATTTATTGCTAAATAACAAAGTTTCAAGAAGAGGAAAAAATTTGAAAAAAGGAAATATTGCTTCACTTTTCCGTTTTTCTTTTTTCACTTGAAAAGAAGTGAAAGAGGTTAAAGAAAAGTGAGAGTAACTTAAGTATTGCCACAACAAAAAAAAAGGAACTGTATAATCAATGATTATTTATTTTAGCAAAAAAAGATTTTTTTTTTTCATGAGATCATAAAAACAATAATGGTTATTTGAAACATCAAAATTGGCCATTAAATTAAACATACCATTCTTTTTTTTTTCTTTTTTTTTCTTCCGTCATCTTTTTTACACCTCTATTATATTTTTCAGCCAGTAAAATAAATGGGGCAAAAAAAAAAAAAACACATGAAGAGGAAAAAAAAAATGAGCCTGAAATAGATAATCAGACAAATAGTTGCAATGATTGACAAAAAAAAATCATTGCTATTGCTGTGGCAGCAAAGGTAACGATAACACCAACGATAACGATAACGATAACGATAACGATAACGATAACGATAATGATAATGGTAATGATAATGATAACGACAATGATCGTAACTGCAGCTATTTTTTTTTTGCTACAACTGCTTCTGAAACTGCTAATTGTAGGAATCTGAATAGAAGTGAAAAAAAAAAAAGACAGTGGTGACGGTAGCTGTTACTTCTGTTCCTTCAGAAGCTGTTGTTTAACTGACTTTAATGCTGTAGTAGCAAACATAAACAATAAGGTTCTAAATATTATTGTGCTGCTATTTTTTGACTACGGTTACCGTTTTGTAGCAAAACCAAAACCAAAAAAAAATAGATAAATAAATAAATGGGAAGAAAAAAAATAAAATAAGAAAAAAAAAAAGAAAGAAGCTAAAGCCCACACAAAGAATACAACATGCATATTTTTAGTTGGCCACAAAAAAAAAAAAGGCAATTCTAATCTCATTTGCACCATTTT